CAAATAACAGGGCAGGCTCACCTATAGTCCACAATTTAGTTGAGTTTCGCAAGATGGAAATACTCAAACACCTTGGTCGTCCACTCTCCTAACCTCCAGGGTCCAAATCCTGGGTGGTTTCCACACAAGCCTTCCTATAGCGAAAAAGGCCTGGAGCACTTACTTGTTGGCTTGTCTTCTAGGCTCATTAATTCACGATGGGCACATAGTCAGGTATACCCCATGGGGGACCATCTATATCTTTGCATGTATAATCCCTCAAGTTTTAAAAATAGTATAGATTCTGATATGCCTGGAATTGTTTGAACTTGATTCTGTTGGAAGATGAAGTGATATTATAATTGCTTTTTGAAAAATTCCCTCCCTGGAGTGGCTCAGTGGATTGAGTGCCAGCCCGCAAACCAAAGAGTGGCCCGTTCATTTCCCACTCGGCACTGGGTTGCAGGACAGGTCCCAAGTTGGAAGCGTGCAAGAGGCAACCGCACGTTGATGTTTCTCTCCTGCTCTTTCTCCCTCCCTCCCCTCTCTCTAAAAATAAATAAAATCTTAAAACAAAACAAAAAGAAAAACTTCTCTGTCTCCTCCACTACAATGTACTACTTGAGGGCAGGTATCTCATTTTACTAACCATTGTGACCCCAGGATCCAGGTACAATTCTTGGCACACAATGCATATTTAATAAATGTTACCTGAGTATTTACTGGATGAATAGGGCAGACAGAGACCCTTTCAAGATCTTTTGTAGCCCAGCAAGGAGAACAGAACGGTTAGGAGCAGATAGTATAGAACTGAGGTGCTTGGTCTTAGTCCCAGCTCTGTCTCTTTCCACTTGTGAAGATGGTTAAGTTACTTAAACTTTCTGTGCCTCAGTTTTACCATCTTTAAATTGGGTATATTAATATGATCTATCTTATAATGTTGTACAGCTTAAAGAATTAAACCTTTGAACACTGCCTGGAAAATGATTGGTGTTCAACTGCTTTAACTCTTTTTTTTACTTACAAAAATGTATTAATGATGACTCAGCTCCATGTTCTTGCAGCTGTTTCATCCTCACTGCTTCTCAACAGTCACACTCTGATAAAATACTTCCTCATAATCATTATGCAGGGGTGGGCAGAAATGTGTTAAATTATTAGCCATCATTACTTGAAAGATAAATCATAAGTAAGGATATGAAATAATAGCAATGATAATAATAATAATAGTAAGACAAATAACATAAATAGTACAATGATAAACAAAGAATAATACAAGAATAAACTGTTTTGTGTACTCACAACTGTAAGCCTACTTTGTCCCACCCCATATAATACTGTATTATTGTATTATATAGGGTAAAAAAAACCCACAGGGGAAATGTCTCCAAATCTACACTCGATAAGGTGATGCTTAATAAATAACCAACTGGCAAAAAAAGGAGGGGAGGATGGACTCTTGGAGGCCCTTGAAGCACTTAGTGACTTAAGCATTTATAACATTTAATATATTTTAATTAATCATATTCTGTTATTAAACATGAAAAGGATTTGCTTGTGCATGGCTTTGAGTAGATGTGGTTGTTGCCCCATATTTTCCATTAATTCTAAATGATAAGATGGGGAACAAAGAATAGGGAGTTATAGTTGTTTAAAAATAAACTTCTGATATTTCCACCACTTCAGAAAATGTCTCTATGCGTCCTTACGGAAAGTCTGGGAGGTTATAAATATGTCAAGTGTGCCCTGGTCCAGCTTATGATTCTGAGAAGGTCTGCCTGTGAGTTACACTTGACATTCAGGGGAGAAGGACCTGGCAGTGATCTGACTTCTACGGAAGGAACCTGAATCAGGAGGCCAGTGGAGGAGAGCCTCGGGTGTGGTTGGTGGGTGTTTGTGGCTGAAACTTCTCTGACACAGATCCGCTTATTTGTGTACCCTGAGGCTGGGCTCTCCTGGGGGAGCTCTGAGGTGCCAGGCAGTGGTCAGCCCTGAGCCCCCTCTACCAACATCTGCTCCCTTCCCTTTCTTCATATATCATCAGGCTCCTCAGACTGTGACAAGTGGCATTACCACCTGAAGAAAGAAAAGAATAAGGAGCAGTATGTACCAAATGGTCTGGGTTGTTTAAAAAGAAAAAAAAAATCACACACAGAAGTAAAAGTGGAAGAAAAGACACTAAAAGTTAGTGCAGGTTACAGTGGGGTTTAATTTATAGCTGATTTTTACTTTCTCCTGTATGGGTATCTATATTTTCTTAAAATGCCCATGAAATCTGAAGCTGCTATAACCATATGAAAAGACATGAAGGTAAATGTAGAAAACTTTCCCTAAGATGGAGACTGGCTCATCTTGCTTGAAGCTAGTTTGCAGCCACTGGTGTGAGGCAATATCTGATGGGGGAAAACATGGCCTCCTCCCAGCTGGGCCTACGCACAAGGACTTGCCGGAAGTCCTCACCTCAGACTTCACTCCTAAGTGTTCTGCCCCCTTTTTTGCTGGTAGTTTCCTTAGAATGCACCCCTAGCCCTCTCCTTTCACCCTCCTCAAGAGATGCAGACCAGTTGCTACTGCAGCTTGGAGTTCAACTGCGACAGGAAGGAAGCTGTGCCATTAATTATTCCCAGAGGCCTGCAGGTTCAGAGGGTTCTACTGACCCCCGGTTGTCTAGCAGCAGAGATTACTGCCTCCCTTCTCAGAACTGTTGTGCTTTGCTGCTTAAACTTAGCTCAGCAAGTCAATGAGAGAGCTTCTATCCATTTCCTCACCTGATGAACCAGAACAATGTCCTTACCTCCAGAAAAGGGAGGTTATGATCTTATAGAAGCTATGTCTCTGTGGGTGGAAGGTTAGACTTGTTAAAGACATTTTCAGTTTCTTATGAACTTGTCTGTTTGCCTTTTGCTTTGGGGAAACGTATTTACTTGGTGGGCTAATACCATACAGCTTATTTTTAAAGCTTTCATGTGGAGAGCAATAGTTAAAATATCAATAGCCATTGAATATACACTGAACCTTTCAAAGGATATAGCATTCACTCAAATGCCAATGGCTTAGAAAATATGGCTCTAAAGGGATTATTAGTGTTATCTTTATAATGTGGAAGAAATCTCAGTGTGGAAAGTGGGATTCTGATTACTCCATAGATTTCTGATCTAACCTAAGAACCTCCATCCCCATCTGTTCTGCCCAGATTTGCCAGGGTTTTTCCAGGCTTCTGTCAAGCAGCCTGCAAGGTCTCTTTGACTAAAGAAATTTGTGTGTCTTCTCTGCTCAGCTAGAGCTCAACTGGGGCAAATGTTGTCAGGTCTGTTTCATTTTTGTAAAGTCCACATCTCAGTTCCTGGCACAGACTAGTAGCTCAATTGATTACCCTCAAACAAATAAATTATACATCTACTCTTCAGTCATTTATTCATCCAGTCTGTCACTTAACATATTTTTGAACACAACAATATACCAGTCATGTTTCAAGGTGCTGGGGACACAACCTTAAACAGATCAGACTGAAATTCCCATCCTTTAGAAACTTATATTCTATTGGGTTTGACTGATTATTGCGAGAACCTTTCATTTCTTTGAGTGTCTAATTGCTGATCCCTGGGGGTTCATCTGAAAACAGGTGGAAGGATTTTTTTTTTTTGTGGTGGTCTTTCCTTTCTTTAAGGCTGTGATCAAGATCAGAGAACAAATAGAGCACTTAAAGAAAACCTATCCTTTCAGAATATTGACTCAGACTTCGTGTAGCTAGAGGTGTGGCTCCAGATAGAGGAAATGGTGCCCCATGTATGGTCTGAGGTGGAGGGAATGAGACAAGGAAGTAGCTTGCCTGGGTCTTAACAGCTTTAAGTCATTTCTTGTTCTTTCCCTCATGGTTCCAAAGTCAAGCATTTGGGAACTCTAGGACTCAGAGAAAATGAGGAGTTAGGACAAAGGTCTCTGTGTGAAGGGAATGGTGGCTGGCCATATCACATGTTTCAAGAAGCCTAAAAATGACCTAAAATGAGGAAGATCCCCCAGGACCTGAACCTGGGGCTAGATAGAGTTGGGAGCCAGGAGAGGAGGGAAGTCACTCACTGGGAGTTCTCAGAAATTTTAGAATGCAAGCAAGACTTTCTGCAGGGCATGTGATTGAGCCCTGAGCTGTTTTATTTAGATGTTAAAGGAAAACCTGGGCCTGGAAGGCTGGGGTGCTTGGGGAGTCCAGATTATTCTGTGCTCATGGCCATCTTTCCCAGCCTGGGACCGTGGATCATCGGCAGCACTTTAGAGGAGTCCCAACGTATTTATTTGGTTGGTCTTCATGTTGCCTCACTTCCAGCAAATCCAAGAGCTTGCAAAGATTTCTGGTAGTAAAGCCATTCCCTCATACTTGGAAGCAAACTTCCCCTTAATTAAAAGTAGACAGGCTCTAAATATGAGTTTACATAACGTAATGTTCTGAACTGGTTTCAGTTGCCTCGTGACACTGTTTTCAGGACACGTTATTTGCAGCAGCCCCGTGGGTCTCAGGAGCCCACCACTCTTTCCCTAAGAGTTGCAGAACTAATCCCAGGAGAAGGCAGAAGGGCTTTCAAGCATGTGGTTGATGCATTCCTTGCCCACAAAGAAGAAACTGTCTTCCATGCAGAAATGCTGCTTAAATGTGAAACCAATTCATCAGCAACCCATCTGCACAAGCCGCTGTGTTTGTGCAAACTGAAAATAAGCTACAATTGAACCAAATTCCCAGAAGTGGGGTCAATGTGAAGAATGGACAGTAATGCCTTCTCTCTCCCAGCCTCTTCACCAACCCCTTTCATCACAACTCTCAAAAGAGCACTAAACCCAGGGGGAGCACGGGGTTTCATGAAAATGACGAATTCAATTTGACTCAAACAGGCTCCCCCTTTCCCTGGAGGTATACTCTCCTTCACTGTTCCAGCTTTGAAATTAAACTTTGGGAAGGAAGGTTTCAAAGATCATGTTGGTTTGAGGGAGACCCATGTGGCAAATGACCTCTCCTCTGCTTTTGCAAATAGTGAGAAACCTTGGAACCCCAAGACTTCTGCTTGAAAATGTAAACTTTTGCTGAAGAGAATGCTGTATTTGCAACTGGGAATAAAGCGGGTCACAGTGGCAACACTCAGGTGGGTTACCCACATGTTTGTTCACGTTCCATTTGCAGCTTAACCTTTACACCCCTTTGGCTTAACCTCTTCCCTTTGGAGGGTGAAAACCAAATTGAATAATGGAGAATGGTTAGCATCAGAGGATTCAATAATCTTTTCATCCATTTGCTCTTAAAACTAACTGGAAGAATGGAGATGCATCTCCCGTTATTACCATTTAGCTCTGTACCTCAGTGCTCTGTTTTGCTCCCTCAAAGCTTTTAATGGTCCCAGATAAATCAGAGCTTTGACATCAACTGCCACTTTATGGAGTCAGAATACTCTACCCTAATCTAGAATCCGACAGTCTGACAGTTCATTTGCTTTTGATCACATCCTGCTGGGGCTTTTACCTTGCATAGAGCTTTTCTGCAATTGACAAGTTCACAGTTCCACTTCAGATTGCAATTGGGTTTTCCAGAAGTTTCCATTGGTCTCCTTAAGGGTGAGAAAGAGCATGCCTTAGAGGTTGAGGTAGAAGGCAGGTCATAAGACATGCCAGAGCTAAAAAAGGTACCTAAGAAGCCAGCCGCAAAGTAGAATAAAACCCAAGCCCCACGTTGTTCTATCTCTGTCCCACAGGTTCTTATCTGCCAATGAACTTGCCAGTCTCTGTGACTCAGCCCTGGTGTCACTGTGAAGGTATTGGTACTTGTCCCTCCTGTGTACCTTTAAGCACCCTGTACAATTTTCATTCCAGCATGTTCCTCATGGTTTTGTAACTATTTATCCTCTTGTCTATCACATCTAACATCTAGCACCCTCTCCTCTAGTCTGTGATTCATTGTGTATTTTCTTAACTAGTACTCAATAAATGCTATCGAGCTGCCCTGGGCATTGTGGTTGTCTCTAGAGAACAGGGACTAAAAATGTGGGTGTGATGCTTTAGTCCACACACTCTTTAAGCACATTAACTCTCCACAGCTATGAAAATGCTGTTTAGTTTTTTAGATGAAAGACCAATGTTGTACTAATGCAGCTTCCAGATTCTATGTAAAAAAAAAAGTTTCAAAATCACATTAGAGTCAAAGTTGGAAAAAGAAAACAGATCCCTGAGAGGCAGGTTTCCTTGTAGACTTTTTAAGGAACCCACTGCTTCCATTTGAGATCCAGTTCTACCCAACACTGTGTGATCTTAAGAGAATCAGCCTCTCTGGGCCTCCTCAGTGAAATAAGAATATAATTAATCTAAATCATAATCTAGAATAATAATACCGAACAAGAATGGTTAGGGAGGGGCCTAATATTTGAGTTCATATTTGAAAAGCTCTTAGAATAGTTTCCCACACAAAGTAAGCAAGCTATAAACATTAGCTCAAAGCCAAGAAGGTGGGGGATTTTCAAGAGGTTTCTGAATGAGAGCACATTGGTTTAGAACTATTTGAAAGCTTTACGTTTCTGCTGCCAAAGGGATCAGAATGCACAAAATATCTGTATGCCTCCAACATTTTAGAAGTAAATTGTCAGATTAGGGTCAGCTGTGTAAACTTGTCCTCTTTAAACTTGACCTTCCTTGTGACTACACCTACTTATTTTCGCAAGTAAAAGATGCAATGAGTCTCGATAGATAGGAACCTTGGAAATCTCACCGCAGTCCTGCGTGTGCCAGTCATTAGGTTCGCAGTGACCCACTAGAAGCAGAATGACAGGCTAAGCCGGTTGGCCCCCATTTGTGAGAATACATTTAAGTTGGTTTGTGTGCTCTGGGACTTCAAGCCATTAATCTCCTGGGGACTTCTCTTTTTAAATGTTTCTTCCCTTTTCATATGTTAAAAACAGTTTGAGAGATGTTATGCTTCTGTTCTCATGGCGCAGTGGTTTTTAGAGTGTCATCTGTGATCATTTCATCCGTTCCCACTTTCGATATCATTTTTTAGAGGCAGCATCATTCAGGGGGAAGAACATAGTCCAGAGGCTCAAATTCCACTTTTGGGACTAACACCACATTGTGTGAGGCCCTTGATTTCTCTATGGCTCAGTTTCTGTGTCTATCAGGGAAGATTGATATCTCCACTCTCATCAGACAGTTTTTGTGAGACTGAACCGAAAGCTTCACCTTCAGAAGCCAGCACAGAGCAGGATGCATGGTTCAGATTCAATAGATGTTAGCTGTTACTATGTATAATGCCTTAGAATAAAAGAATAGTCTAATACTCTTTCAAGCAGGTTCATGTTCATGATCTCATGTGACAGTGAGAGTTTGGCTGAAAAAGCGCGGCAAGTAACGTTAGCCCCACTTTATAGAGAAGATGACCGAGGCTAAAGGATGGTGAGAAATTCTCCTCAGGTCTCCAGTGAATTAGCACCTGAAACTGGATCCCTGAGACCCTCAGTCTTGTGCAATGTCCATGGTAGTGCTTCTCCATAATTACATCCTATTCTGATGAGCTGGGAATGCTGCCTGTTAACATGCAGATTCTGACTCAGCAGATCTGGGAGGGGTCGGGCTGAGAGTGTGCATTTCTAACAAGCTCCCAGAAGATGCTGATGCTACTGGCCCAGAGAGCCCCCACTTGGAATAGCAAAGCTTTATGACCGGTTGTACCAATTCCTGGCTGTTCTGATGCCTTGGTGCTAATTTTCATGAGAATTCAAGAAAAAATAGTGTGTAGAAGAATCACAAGACATATCACAGGGATAATCCTCAGAGTTATCGTCCTCTCACCACTGTACAGTTACATGGCAGTCAATTACCCAAATGCCCATCGATCTTCACAGCAGCAGTACAAACACGCAGCCCTTAATCTTGCCAAAGCCCGCAATCAATCAAAGTCCCTCCTCTTTTGTACGATTGGAGGTCCCACTGGGAAGCACAAAAGTCCCTCCATTTTCTTCCCTCCACTTAACACCAGGGAGCTCATCCCCAAAGGGGAGCTCTATGGAAAAGAACATTCCTCTTTCTTCTGAAAACTGATTGCTCCTTTTCCACGTACATTTGTTTTTCATTCACACAGACATTTCAACAATGTAGGCCTTGCATAACCTAGGTAACCCAAACCAGCTAAAATAAGAACCTCTTTCAACTTTTCCATAGAATTTCAAACCACACCTGAGCTTTCCACAGATTACAGGGCAGAAAGAATGGCAAGGTTTTTGTGGAGAGGGCAGCCCTCTTTAATCTGTGTTGTCACGAAAGTGGGGATGGACACACAGGACAAGTTCAAGTCTAGCATAAAAAAATCAGCTCATGAACACGGTACTTTTTTCCTCCATAGTGGGTTTTTTTTTTTTTTTGGTATTTTTACTTTCAGAGTAAGCTGATCTTTGCATAGTAGACGAAGCGTTGGCTGACAAACGTTTCCTGTCAAGAGCTAGATAGTAAATGTTGTCAGCTCTGCAGGCCATAGGGTCTCTGTGGAAAGGATTCAGCTCGGCCCTTGTAGCTCAAAGGCAGACACAGTGTGTGAAGCTGGGTGGGGCTGTGTTCCAAACAGGCTTTGTTTCCAGACACTGAAATTAGAATTTCAATTAATGTTCACGGGTCACAAAATATTTTCCTTTTCACCATTAAAAGAAAGTAAAACCCATTCTCGGATCTCTGTATGAAACCAGAAAGCAGACAGAACTTCTGTCAGCGGCCAGAGTTAGCTGACCTCTATGTTAAAGTCATGTGGGCACCAGCCAAAGGCAACATTCTCATATATTGTAATGTTAAAACTTAGATGTAGAATAGACTTCCAGATTTCCTGCGTTTATGATGGCAGCTTTAAAGGAAACCAAAGCTGCACGCTGGGAACTGTTCTGAGTGTTCTCCAAATGTTTTCTTATGTTAGCTTTCGGTCTATAATTCATTCTCATTTCCTAAGGTTGTTTAGTTTGTGAATGTGAAACCATCAGCTTCCTGTGTCAATTTCAAGTAGCTAAGTTTCCTATTTATTTGGAATCCTTTAGTGGACCCTCATCTTGCATTTATTTATTTTAGCTCCAAAGCCTGACCATATTCATAGCAAGAGTTTGGAAGCATAAGTAGTAGTTTTCTCAAAGGAATATATTCTGACCGGTTGATTTCACCGAACGCTCCTAAAGTATGTGCTTTGATTCTAGTAATAATGATGGTAATATGGGCTTGTGGCAAGGATCTTTAGCCCTTTGGTTTGTATATATTATAGCTACAAGTTAGATTTTTTTTTCCCCATGGAGGAATTCCATGCATAGCCCACAAGCTGTTTTAACTGTAGACTGTATCTTCGTAACATGTAAAATGCACATACACTTTCTGGTCCTGCATAATTCTTCTTTTCATTAGGTATTCTAAGCTTACTTTTCTTTTGCATATTTCTCTTCACATCTGGCACATCACCATCAGTTCCCTGCCACCATCCCCATATATATACCTGCCCATTAACCCGATGGCCGCAGCTGTAGAAATTTCTCTAAAGTTATACAATGAATGTTCTCCAAACACCTGATTTGTTTATTCTTCCCCCTAGTAGCACTAACTTAAAACAAGATGCATAGGATTTTGTCTTGGGTTTCTTCTTGCATGGCTTCAATAAACCATGACCTAATTGTCCATCTGACAGACTGAAGACACAGGGTATGTTTATTAACCAGAATAACTTCTTATGACCCCATAACATTAATTTAATTTATTTCTGCCAAAAGATTTTATCTGGGGAACGGGTCAGTAAGAAACAGCTCAATCATAATCTCTCTTGAAACACCCTTTGAACTCCACAAAAGTACCACTGACTCAGAACCATTGCGGGTGCTCATCAGAGGTGGGAAAACGGATTGGGGTGGCCCTCGCCACAGAATTCGGAAGGATGTCCACACCCCTGGCAAGAGGCTCGGCGGACTCTGCTTGCACACCTGATGGAAGGAAGGAGTGTGGTTAGCTCTGTGGTGCCTTTGAAAGGGCCTTGGGGCACAAAGGCTTTGTCAGAAGGTGGGAGGGGGCAGTGAGGGTGAAGGCAGCAGCTGTGGCCTAGCTGAAGAGCTCCCACCAGCGTTCAGATCTGCGACATCTGCACCTCCTT